AACGGCAAAGTGACTTCAATATGAGGCTGATTGACTTCACTGTGTTCTGCTCACTAGCAGGTATTTGTAGACATTTAGCAGAAACACTCCCTATCAGAGTCTCTCTCTGCTGTTGATATCCTCTGATAACAAACTGTTCAATTCTACTTCCAGTTTCTGGTTTGGATCTCAGGTGGACTCTCAGGTGGAGTCCAGTTCTTTGGGACTCTGTTCTGTGCAGCAGCAGAGAGAGAGCAGCAGACAGGAGAGAAGACACTGCAGCTGTTATCATCAGTGTGCACATATCCATCATTCCCTCTTACTGATGAAGAGGGTGATGAAGAATATCAGAGTGGTTTCCTGCTGGATCTGTACTCCCACCTGAAGGACTATGAGACTGAAACAGGTCTGAGTGTCCTTCCATCGTTACAGTCTGTTCTCCAGTCAGTTCCTGCAGTCTGGTCCATAGACCTCTCAAAGAGAAAGAGCTCCATCCTGCTGGAAGTGCTGAGACTCCAACCAGAGAAGAAACAAGTGGAGCTGAGAGGCTGCTCAGAGGAAGAGAGTGAAGTGAGGACTTTGCTGCAGTGTCTGCCTTATATCTCACAGATCAGGTCAGTCAAAAAAATACTTTATATTTATTAACTAGGGTCCGAGAGCAAACAACGTAGGGAGGACCCTATTGGAATTGTAGGAATTATTATATTTCTTGTTATGAAAGAATTGTCTTTTTGAGGAATATTACATTCTCTTTGAATTAAACGTGGCACCAAATGCAATCTTGGTGTCGCTTTGCCGTGGCAAAATAGCTCAACAGAGACCCCTGGAAGGCAGCCCCTGCCCTGGGTTTGTCCTACATTTATATATTATTTTGGAAAGGAAGCATGTAAAGAAAACTAAGAAAGGTCCACGAGGCATACTGTTAACCAACAGGAAGTTAGCCCTTTAGAATTTGACAGCATTTTGTCTCCTACACATTTCCTCTGATCAACCCTAAAATCTTTCAGTGCCATCTTTAGACCTTAAAGATCAAAAGTTATTTATAGCTTAACTCTCCATTGAACTCCCTTGCTGTGGCGTGGTCGGGAGAAAAAAAGCATTTACTCATAAAACAGAAAGTGCAACTGGAGCCTAAATTCTCCAATATGCTCCAGATCTCTCAAGGATAATACGAGTCCAGGCCAGCAGACATCAACAAGGCAATATTGATTCAGTGACAAAGTGCCAACTACTGGCAACAGGAAGTTAAGCGTTGTGTATTTTTACCTCTTCCTCCCCGCAGATTAGGAAATCCTTTTGAAATGTATAATCATCTTCAATTTTAGATTCAACCCTAACACAGTTGACACTACAAAACATGTTGAAAGTGGGAAGGTAAAGAGTTCACATTGCTAAATAGTGATCAGGTGTAGAAAGTGTTTACTATGAGTAATTGTAACTACTAGTAATTAAGTTAATAATTAAACTCGTCAGTGCTGTATTCTGTCAGGTCAATCTGAACTTTGATCTCTTGTGTTGCCCTCCAGAACATTTTCCCTTTTTTTACTTTTCATTCAGACTTTCTGCCAAAGATGTGGAAAATTAAACAGCACAACATTTTAAACTGTAACTTTGCTTAAACTGTAACTTTATACAGTTTGATAGTACATGCAGTGTTTAATACACGTTTGTTATCATGCAGCTTCAGGAGGACCCACAGAGCTCCAGGACTACAGGGCCAGGAGCGACGCTATGAGAAACTGAAGAGACAAGAAAAGCAGCTGTTTCTGGATTTATGCCTGAAAGCAGCTACTCTCATTCAAGGAGAAAGCGTTCACAATGAAGTGAACAACCTCATCTCTCTGTTTTCTTTTAACTATGATATACATAACATCCTTCTGGATTTGTATCAACACGTCAAAACTCAAGAAAGTTCAGCTGTTATTCAAAAACTGAAGCCATTTTTCCAGTCAGTTCCTGCAGTCTGGACCATAGACCTCTCAGAGAGAAAGAGCTCCATCCTGCTGGAAGTGCTGAGACTCCAACCAGAGAAGAAACAAGTGGAGCTGAGAGGCTGCTCAGAGGAAGAGAGTGAAGTGAGGACTTTGCTGCAGTGTCTGCCTTATATCTCACAGATCAGGTAAATGGTAATCTGCACATTCAATTTAACTTAATTTAAACCACAGCTGATGGAGAAAAAGTTTGTATTTGATTGAAACCTAAAATCACAATCTCTTGATTCCTTGTGTTTTCAGTTTTGTGCCTCAGTTATCAGAACCTTCAGGTGAACTCCAGTTCTTTGGGACTCTGTTCTGTGCAGCAGCAGAGACAGAGCAGCAGACAGGAGAGAAGACACTGCAGCTGTTGTTATCAGTGTGCACCTATCAAACAACAGCTTTAACCGACATAGTTTCTTATTATTTTAAGAGGAACCCTCAGTGTGATTTCCTGCTGGATCTATACTCCCACCTGAAGGACTATGAGACTGAAACAGGCCTGAGTGTCCTTCCATCATTACAGTCTGTTCTCCAGTCAGCTCCTGCAGTCTGGACCATATACCTCTCAGAGAGAAAGAGCTCCATCCTGCTGGAAGTGCTGAGACTCCAACCAGAGAAGAAACAAGTGGAGCTGAGAGGCTGCTCAGAGGAAGAGAGTGAAGTGAGGACTTTGCTGCAGTGTCTGCCTCATATCTCACAGCTCAGGTCAGTCAGACAGATCATGTACATGTATTAATATTGTGTATATTTATTCAGATTCTGAAATATAAATAAACTGATAATCGACAGTGTTTCAAAAAAGACATTATTTTAATTCACAAATAAACATGATTTAGATAAAGCTGAATAAAATCAGTCTCACTTATCACAGTCTTCTTCCTGTTTGGAATAATGAAATAATGTGAATCATAAAAAGAATAATGCTGCTCTGATACAACAAGACAGTCCTGCTAATACCTCCTCAGACTGCAGCTATCAGAATAAAGTAGATTCAGGATGAACTGTAACAGATTTAGGAGCTGAGTGATAGATTCATTATCCGGCCAAAATATTGCTTTCAGCCAATGAATGAAGTGTAACTGAGCAGGAGGTTCGAACAGTGATTGGTTAAGATGACTGAATGAGGGGATTTTACCCAAGTGGCTTAGTAGCTATTTTCTAAAAATCTCTCTGTCATCAGGAAGTGAAAAGGTTATCACTATGAAGAGATGATTACCGTAATTTTCGGACTATAAGGCGCACCTGAATATAAGCCGCAGCAGCTAAATTGAATGATGTGTACATATATAAGCCGCACTGGACTATAAGCCGCAGGTGTTTTAATGTTTCATTACCATATGTAAGGGTTCGTGCACAGAGGGGATTGTCGGGAAAGAGATGGCTGTTTGAGGAAGCTCCCATTTATTAACATTTCAAGGCAAATTCAAACTTTCAACATTTTCCAAACACACAGGACTTTGCGATACACTATGTCAGTCAAATGTGTCGTGTACAAGACATCCGTATGATAACGTGATTTAACCATTGTGGAACTTTATGGCCAATACGTTTATACGTTGAACCCAAACAACNNNNCCATTAAAGGTATTTGTAAGCTTTTAGCCAATACACTCCTTATCAGTAAAGCATGGCTCTTTGTGTACTGTTGGCATCATCTGATAACAACATGTTCAACCCTTACATCATTACAAATACATACAAATCCCACATTTTTATCAATAAAGTACATTTTATCTTGATTCTTGTTCCAGTTACTCTCTGAGGTTTGGAGACTCAGATGAAGTCCAGTTCTTTGGGACTCTGTTCTGTGCAGCAGCAGAGAGAGAGCAGCACACAGGAGAGAAGACACTGGAGCTGTTATCATCAGTGTGCACATATCCAACATTCCCTCTTCCTCACAAATCTCATCCTGGTGCTGTAGAAAAGTATCAGGGTGATTTCCTGCTGGATCTGTACTCCCACCTGAAGGACTATGAGACTGAAACAGGCCTGAGTGTCCTTCCATCATTACAGTCTGTTCTCCAGTCAGCTCCTGCAGTCTGGACCATATACCTCTCACAGAGAAAGAGCTCCATCCTGCTGGAAGTGCTGAGACTCCAACCAGAGAAGAAACAAGTGAAGCTGAGAGGCTGCTCATACGGAGAGAGTGAAGTGAGGACTTTGCTGCAGTGTCTGCCTCATATCTCACAGCTCAGGTCAGTCACACAGATCATGTATATTTGATGATATAATGTGGATTTCTTAAGAAATACAAATATAAAAGACATGTGATTATGGGCAGTGTTTCAGAAAGAGACAATAGTGCTTCACTTCTGAACATGGTGTAGATGAATAACATTTCCCAGTTCAGTCATTATTTGAAACCACAGTCTTCTACCAGTTTGAGAATAATGAAATGATGTGAATCATAATGAGAGAACTTAAGCTCTGAGACAGCAGCACCATCATGCTCATGCCTCATTCAGAAATAAAGACACATACAAACACAAATAAACTTGCTGATAAAACTGCTCTCAGCTGTTTAACATATCTCTGCAGCTTATCAAAAATCAGTTGTAAGAAAAACAAATGTTATTTCACAGATAGAAGAGGTTGCATCTCTTGATTCAAATAAAGAGTAATTCAAAGTATAAAGGCACAACAAGTATTACTCCATGTATCTACCTCTTTCACAGATACTAGAATCAACTGGACTGACACTAATGACACTTCTAAAGACTGTATAGTGAGCTTTGAATAAAGACTTCAGACACATGAACGATCCTAACTGAAAGTCATCAGAGACAGAGGAGGTGTTACTAAACTCTGATTCACATTTGTATTCTCTCAGGAGCAAAGTGAACAGTTTCATGATGTGATGTTCTCTTCTACGTGATAGTGACTCTAGATGTTGTTGTTCCACTTTTGACATTATTATATTGGGAGTATCATTTTACATACAAAACGTATTCACAAAGTAAATCACCTCAGGTGAACAGAATCACTGGGACAGGGTGTCCGCGGGGTCTTAAAAAAGTATTCAAAGTTGATAAATCAATTTAGCGAAAATTAAGGCTATTAAAAAGTATTAAACGGCATTTTCCAAGGTATTAAGAAGTCCCACCACAGCAACGACAACATGAAACACCCTTTAATTTACTGAAACGACATGTCGGGAACCCCCTCAAGGCAGCCCCCATAGCGCGCCGTAAAATGCTGCTTCTTATTTTAAGTTTCGTTGCCTTGCTCCGCTCTGTGGGGGGGGGAGGTCCCAAGGTGGGTA